TAAAACAGCCATCTTCGACAAGTAACACACTTGCAAAGTTAAATGATGTCAAAGATATACTATTTTTGAATGCAACTTTGCCAATACATGTGACTGAAGTTGGTATACGTATTTCATTCAATTTATAACACCCAAAGAAAGCGCAATGTGGGATTGTCTCAAGTCCATCAAAGAGTGCAATTTCAGATTATGAGGTACGCCGTTCAAAACAGGATTTCTGAAGTATTTTGTCTGTGGAATACTAACTAGACTATCACATGAACAAAAACACTTGCTTCCAAGAATGACATTTGTGTTACAAGAAATGGATGTCAACAAAACACACCCTTCGAAACAACGCTCAGATATTTTTGTAACACTTGTTGGCAATTCAATTGTTTTCAGATTAAAACAATTAACAAAACAACAATATGAGATTTTAACCACATTTCTTGATAACACAACACTTGTGAAATTTACACAGTCTACAAACATGCGTGGATATAACTTGACATTGCCACTCATTTTCACACACTCATTGTAACAAGTCGCAATTTTCACATCAGCAGAGTATTTTAAGTATCTGAGGTGGGGTTCGTTTGATGTCTCAATGGGTTGTAACTTGCATTTTCTCCATTTGAAGCTCAACAAACCTTTCTTGCCAACACAATTGTGGATCCCAGACATACCCAAACTCTTTCATGTCACCTTCTGTTAATTTAATATTGTTAAAATTGAAACCAAGAGCTTTCAGTCGTAAATGGCATTCGTAACTCACCACAAAAATGTCTTTACCCACTCCATTGGTTTCTATTATGGTCAATTTTTTTGTTATAAGAAAACAGGTATTTGTCTACTTTTTCAGTGTCGAAGGAAGTGAAAGTTCTTTTAAATCAACGAGTTTAATTATATAATTGTACACAAAAGTGACTCCATTTGGAAAAACTAATTTGGTCAATGTAGTATTTTCTGTCAACTTTTGTACTATGATATCGTCACTTTCTGTGATATTTTTTAAATCAAACGAGGTGCCATTTTCACACACAAGACTTGTCAACAAGCTACATCCACTTACAAACCCTTTCCCTATTTTGGTGACACTGCTTGGTATGACAAGTTCTTCAAGATAATTATATTCACTAAACGTGTTCTTGCCTATTTCAACAACAGTACTTGGTACTATAAATGTATTGTCAAATCCATACCAAATGCTGTGTTTTCCAATTTTGGTGATGGACGTTGGAAACACAAAGTTGTGAATTGTATCATAAGAAAAATACATATACATATTAATGCAACAATTCTCTGAGATTTCAACGGGGTTTTGTGCCTCATTATAAATGCTTCTCAAATTAAAGTCCACAAGTGTTGATGGGTAATACACCGTTTGGAGATAATCATTATATTGGAAAAATTCCCCATCAATTTTTTCTGCCTCATGAAAATCAAACACTTTACATTGTTCGAGGTTGTACAACACAACTC